TTGTCCCAAAATGTTTTTCAACTTCTCTTTAAGTAACTGCAGAGGGTAATAGTTCTTGCTTCACAGCATCGTTCCATGGCTTGGACAGTGACTGAGCCATCTACAGCCTTTTCCATCATAGCCTGAACATTTTGTGTGGATGCAACTGTGCAGTTAGGTGAGTATGTGGCCCTGTTTAGATCAGGGCAGGGCAAGAAAGGGAGCTCTGGCTTTGGGGTCAGAGCACCTGGGTCTGAATTCCAGCTCTGTTTCTCCTACCTGTGTGACTAATCTAAGGAAAGTCCCCACACTCCTCTGCACATCCTCACCTCTAAAATGAGGGAGGAGTTGACTTATCTTACCGTTAAAATCTTTTCCAAGACTTGTATGGTCTGATGCTGAGTGAAGTGAGCAGAACAAGGAGAACGTTGTACACAGTAACAGCCACGTTGTGTGATGACTAATATTGATAGACAATCCTTCTTAGCAATGCAAGGATCTAAGACATCTCCAAAGGCCTCATGATGGCAAATGCTATCCACATCCAGAGAAAGAACTACGGAGTTTGAATGTAGATAGAAGCATACTATTTGCTATTTTTTTTTCTTCTGTTGTGTTTTGTTTCCTCTTTCTGGTGTTTTGTTTCCTCTTGGTTCTAATTCTTACTTATAACATCACTAATGTGAAAATATGTTTAATAGGAATGTATATGTATAGTCTATATCAGATTGCAGGCCATCTTGGGGAGGGAGGTGAGGAGAGAGGAGGAGAAAAATTTAAAACTCAAAAGCTTATGGAAGTGATTATTGATAAATCAAAATAAATTAATTAACCCCCCCAAAACAAAACAAAACCAAAACCAAAACAAAATTAAAGATCCTTTCCAGCTTTAACCTTTACTATGCTAGATCTTTCTATAGAGAATTTTAGGTATGAAAACATTTATCTTCCCCACTTTTTAACTTCCCACAAACCCCCCAAAGTACAGGTAAAATAAATTTCACTTTACACAACAGATATACTCTTGGAAAAAACAACCCACAAATTTTTATAAGGTGAATCACATTTTTAAAGATATATTTGTTATTGTAGACATAGCTGCCAACAAAAAGAATCAAATAAACAAATCAATGGGCAAAATCCTACTCATAATCCCCTAACCTTTAAAAGCAGACTCAAAAGAACTAAACAAGTGAAGATACGGTGCCTTCCTCCCCAAGTTCATTAGCTTTGGTCCTGCTTTCCTTCTTTCTCAATTAAATTTTAATTAGTAGGAGGAGGATTAAATTCCTTTTGTAACAATCACCCAATACGTGTAGGTTCACAGAATTTTACAGAAATTTCAGATCAGACTTTAGAGATAACCCAAACCCTTATTTTATAATGGAGAAAATAGAGAACCCTAGTTGGGAAATGACTTGCCCAAGCAGGTTAGGGGTGAGGCTGGAACTCAGGTCTCTTGATTCTCAGCTTGAACTGCACTCAGCTCACTTTTTAAATTTTTTTCCCCCTAAAAGTTAGAATTCTTGGTTGTTTATGTACACAGTAGGTACTCAGTTTTGTTTGTGTGTTTTTTAATGGTGACAAATAGGGCTGGAGATCAAATTTCTCCTTTTGGTTTTCTGAAGCAATATGAAGTTCTTGTGGATTGTTTATTATGAGCGAAAGGAAAAAGTCCTAACCAACACTAGGTTCAAATCTCAGCTTTGCTACTTTTATAATCTGTGTAACCTTGAGAAAGTCTCCTAGGTCTCTGGAATTTAGATACTTCCTTGTAAAGGTAGGAGACCAGTCAAAATGACCTCTTAAGCCTCTGTGACATAGGGTCCTGGCCTCTAGGAGTTACAGCCTAGTTGGGGTGCTGTGACCAACACACATGGAGAGGGAAGCAGGATGAAAAGACAGTGAAGTGCTGTGGAAGTTCAGAGAATAAGAGGTCAGTGTGGTCTGAAGTCATCAGGAAAGGCTTCCTGGAGGAGGTGGATTTAGAGTAGAACCTTGAAAGATAGGCTGCAGAGAGAAGTGGTGGAAAGTGGAACCCAATCTCTCTTTGGATTTCCTTCTTTCATTTGTCACCAGACTCAATCTCTAATGTCCCTTCTAATTAAAAAAAAAAAGTCCTCTGATTCTATGGCAGGAGTCCAGATGTGATGGGGTTGGTGTCATTTCCCTGTGAATGCCATATTCCATGTTGAGCAAAAACTGATTTTGTTAATTGGTGTCAAGGGTTTAATTATTTCTGATGTTAAGAATTACTACGGGAACAAGGACAACTGCTTTGGAGGAGAGAAAGATTCAGTTTGATGATGAAAGTACGAGCCACATATTCCTTTGGATGAAAATAAACATTTTAAAAACACTGATTTTTCCCTGGGAGATAAAATTCCTCATCTGGTTAAACTATAGACTTTGGGCACTTTTATATGATTCTTTGCGCAAAAAACAAATTAAAAGGGGAGAATTTTGGCAGGAAGCAAGGAAGAGAAGCATGTCCGAGTTAGCCTGTGCTCTTCTCTGGTCTGCGCTACAATGAGTTTGGGAGAGCATGGTAGTATGATAGATAAAAGTGCCAGCCTGGAGTCAGGAAAACCTGAGTTCAAATCTGATCTCAGATACTTACTGTGTGACCTTGGACAAATCACTTCACCTCTGTTTACCTCAGTTTCCTCATTTGTAAAATGGGGATAATAATAGCATCTACCTCCCAGGGTGGTTATGACAATCAAATGAGATCATATTTGTAAAGCACTTAGCACAGTGCCTAGCACATAATAAGCACTATATAAATACTAGCTATTATTATCATTGGGCAGTGAGGTGGTACAATGGTTAGAGCGCTGGTCCTGGGGTCATGTTCAAAACCAGACTCAGACATTTACCAGCTGGGTGACCCTAGGCAAGTCACTGAGGTTTGCCTCAGTTTCCTCAACTGTAAAATGAGCCGGAGAAGGAAATGGCAAACCACTCCAGTATGTTTGCCTCAAATAGGGTCACAGAGAGTCAGACAAGACTGAAAGCACTCAACAACAATTATTATTATTAGGGGCAGCTAGGTGGCAGGGTGGATAGAGCACCAGACCTGAGTTCAAATCCCACCTCAGACCAAACACTTGACACTTACTAGCTGTGTGACCCTGGGCAAGTCACTTAACCCCAACTGCCTAAAAAACAAAACAAAACAAAAAAACAAATTATTATTATTATTAATAATAATAAGTGTCAGGGAGGCTGACAGTTCCCAGACTTAGCAAGAAGCTTTCTAACAATCCGAGTTATGAAGATTCAGAAATCAAAGAACTAACAACTCCACAGAAAAAATGTGGCTTTGTCTTCTTGTCAATGGATCTTCAAATGGCTTTTCATAAAAACATGTCACTGTAGGGTAATATATAGGATGATTTTCCTTTGAGAATAAAAAAACACTTCAAAATCCTCCATGGTCGGGGGTGGGGGTGGGGAGAGGGAAGCATTGATTTTATTCATCTCTGAGATCCTTCACTTTAGAAAGTACCTGTGCCATTTATGAGATTCGTCAAAAGCAGTGAATTAAGAAAACAAAACTTTTCAAGAGGGGCTACCCAATCTTGTCCATTCCTTGCCACACTCACATTGAGCATTTCTGAAGTTTCTGGATCCCTTAGAGATGGGGAAGGAAACACTGACACTTCAGAAACTCAGGATGTTATAATAAACCTTGAGTAATTAATTAAAAAAGAAATACAGAAAACACTTGAATTCAATTTCCTTGGGAATGTATATTTTAATAGTTCTTGGTTAAATTGGTTGTATACCTTAATTGTGAAGTACAATGGTGATTAGACTCTGCCTGTACCCTCCTCCTTTGTATCCTCCATCTCCCCATCCTCTTCCCCCCCAACGTACATAACTATTGAGTATATTTTAAAATAATCAATGGGCTATAAAATGACTTTTCCTCAAGAAAAGACAAGAGAAATAACAGATTTTTCGGTTTGGGAAAAGATGAATCTTTATGAAGGCAAGTCTTTAAAAAAAAAGAGCCTTAAGTTTCTCATGATGATTTTTTTTTTTAACAATTGGAAACTCAGGCTGAAATCATGCTGTCCTGTATGTCTGGGAGGAAAATAAATGACAAGTAAAGGTTTAGGCAGAAGAGCTGGAGTCCCTAAGTGTCTTCAGAGGCTAGAACGATGCAGGACCAAACTTTGAAAAGCAGGAAAAGATAGTTGAGGATTCATAAGCATGGCCAAGAGAGAACTAGGGAAAAAGTGATTCAAGTCCGGTTACTAAAAAAATTAGGATATTCAAAGTTGCAAAGACAGTTTGGGTGAGGAATTCTGCCCTGTGGCAAAGTAATCAGGGTGTTTTCTTTTAAACAATTTGGCATAGAAAGGAAGTTATCAGAGCACACAACTACTTCCCTAGGTCATCACCTTATGTATGCTTTGTCCATATTTCATCAGCAAGGGCACTTTGCATTCTAAATGTCAGTTGAAAGACCAGACAAGAGGATGCTTTGAATGACCACGTGGCCATGTTAGATTCTATAGACAAGATCTAGTATTCCATATCTAGGTTGATTGTAATGACAAGAATGAGAATCCTACCAGGGCCGTGACCTCTGTTTCCATTGCATGACTGCAGCATTGATAAAATTCTTGAAGTCGGGCATCAATTACGTATTAGCTGGGCTGATGAAACATTCCTTAGCTTTTCCCTAACACCAGGCCTGTACCTTTTTACCTCTTGGGACACCATGAATCCCTCAAATAGAGACCGGGCACACGAGGTGAGATGTCAAGTGTTAACGCTGCATTTTTTTTTAAGCTATTCTCAAATGCTAGGGCCAGAGTCCACCTTGGTCCTGGCCCCTGAAATATAAAATTTGTCATTTGGTCCTAACCCCTTCTTCAGATTCTGTGGCCATGTTGCCTTTGTCAGGATAGCACTGGCATTTTAGAGAGGACAAGGGGTGTTTTGGGTAGCATTTAGGAAATGTCATATGGACTATCAGGGCTTCACCAGCCTGCTTTTCCTTCTAGTTGCATTTGACATGGGACTTGCCTTCTTCAGAAAATTTGTGGCTTCTCCAGGTGGGCCCCCGGTAAGTTCTATTTATTGCTGTTAAGTATCCTAGTCTTGACCTCTATTTTTGTGCCAGAGGAAGCTACAAGAGGCTTATGGCCTGCAGCTCAGTCACCAAATGCTGCCTTAGCAAGTGATGATGTCTATCTCTTATCCCTCAAAGCCCCAAGGACTAGGCTCGACACCCCCCACCTCTGAGGCACAAAATGACCAGGGGCGTCACAGACTGATTGATGTTAGGGTGGCAACACCCTAGAAGCAATTGCTCAAGATTGCCCAGGTTTCTTCTTCCTCCTCCAATCAAGTGTAACTTAGTGACTATTTAGGTAGTGAGGATGTATGACCCGATAGCAATGGGGTCACCAATTGGTTGGTGATGGTATCTTTCTTGCTTTTTCTAGCCCTGCCCCCTCCCTGGTAGAACTGGGGCTCTCTTGCACAGCCTTGTCTCCCCCTGCAGTTCTGGGGGTTATTACAGATACAGGAGAGGGGAGCTTTCCCATGTTCTGCATTCCTCAGGATTCTATTCTGGAAATATGCTCTAGTGGAGGGAAAAAGAGTCCCTGGGTTTGAATCTTAGTTCTGCTATTTATTACTTATCTCCTAGGGCAAGTCCTCCTCTCTGGACATTTTCCTTTTCTGTAAAATGAGGGAGTTAGACCAGATGACCTTTAGGATCCCTTCTACCTCTAAATTTTTGCTTCTATGATGATAATCTTGGCTCTGCTATATTTAACTTATCAAAATTGAATAAACAATCTCCAGTCCACAGAAGAATGGTTTTTGACAGATAGACTGTATTACAGATTGTTTTACAATATGTTTCTTCTATATGGAAGTGTGGTTATATCCCTGTGATTGAGAAACACGGTGTCTCGTTAATGCAGGTTGGGTGGTGGTCCTGCAGACTTTGCTCACATAAGTTCTTAGGTCCTGGTCTCCTGGCTGGCCTTACTGGAAGTGAAGCTAATGATTGGGGAGTCACGGAAAGTGGCTGGTCTTCTGCAGGACCCTGGACAGTGGGCCAAAGTGACATATCTCTGCCTCTGCATATTTTGGTCTGTGTTCTTTGGTCTGGTTGTAAGAGGATGGGGACACCCATGTCCAATCAGCTAGCAGAGTTTCTCTCAGATGCTTGTTTGCACTGGGCTCCATATGCTTAAGGACTATAAATAACATGTAATGTGAGTTTCTTTACTTAATTCTTCTTTTTTCTTTTTCCTCCCAAGGTGTCCGTGTAGCTCACATTGCTGGTGGCTTGACCGGGATGACTGTAGGTTTCACTGTATTTAGCTGCTTTGAAAAGGAGTTGCTGAAAGACCGGATGTTCTGGGTTACAATCATTGGTTATTTTGTTTGTGTTTTGCTTGCTGTGTTTTTTAACATCTTTTTATCACCAGTAGACTTCCTCTAAGATAGTCCAATTAAAAAAAAAACCACTCGTGAGAACACAAAGACATCTTTGAAAGGCAAAGGGGAATTCCATTAACTGTTTATTTTGTCTCCTTCACTTTGTTCCCAGTGAGAACCTCTATTTGGAAGGCACATATAGAGGATCCATAACAAGGGAAGGGAGGACTTGGATAGCTCCATTACGCTTCCTGGGTGGCAGTACAATTTCCTTGATATAAAGGAGAAGGACTTTTTTTCCTTTTTTGGCAATTGGGGTTAAGCGACTTGCCCAGGGTCACACATCTAGTGTCAAGTGTTTGGTCTGAGGTCATATTTGAACTCAGGGCCTCCTGACTCCAGGGCCAGTGCTCTATTCACTGTGCCACCTAACCGCCCCAAGAAGGACTCCTGCCATTCGTAGGGAATACATTCTAGAGATTCCAGCAAATAGGAGACTACAGATACTATACTATGGAGAGAATAAAACCTTTTGGTCCTTTTCTGGCTCCTTGCCTACTGGCTGTATTATCCTTCACCTTTCATTTCCCACCTGGCTGCTTTCTTGGACTTCTTCATCTTCAGAAACACATCATTCTGCAAGATGAAATCAACCTGTAAACTCTTACCTCCTCAGGTCATTTCCCAGCCTGGCCCCTGAGCTTGGCGCTCCCCACCCCTTTCAGCTTCTTTTTATGTGTGGTCTCCCCCATTAGACTGTGAGCTCTTTGAGGGCGGAGACTGTTTTATGCTTATCTCTGTATCTCCAGCACTTTGCACAGTGCCCGGCACATAGTAGGCACTTAATGTTTATTTACTCTGATTGAGACTTACTCTTTTAGCATCATGATGGAGGGGTCAACACAGAAGTACTGAAATATACTGAAATTAAAGAGATCATTCCAGTTCAGTGTTCAAGTATTAACAACATTTAAAGGGAGAGCAAGAGGAAATAGGCAGGTCAGGCTGACAGTATTTGTAGGTTGCTCCTTGGTAATGAGGGAATTGTGGGAATTGGGTGAACCACACTGACCTCAACTTGTGACTCAGTTCTAGAACTGGCTCAGTTCCTTTTCTATTCATTATGGGTCTAGTCCAATTTCTGTCTCATGAGAAAACTTTATTCAGTTTATGGGAGTTGTGAGAAAACTTTAATGTATTTTTTTGAACCAAGACCTGCATGGCCGGGAAGCCGGACCACCCCTACCTGATGTTTAGAGACCTTTCACCAAGGACCTAGGCTATGCTGAGCAGAAACCCAGTCAAATCTGAAGACTAAGGCCAGGAACTTTCTCACAGTTGTACGTCTCAATCAACTCACATGCTTATTTAAAAACTGGCACTGTACTGGTCAGTTACTGTTTCCTTGTTCCTTTGATAGAATACAGACACTTCTATTTCAATAAAGGTTTCCTGTATTGATATCTAAGTCTTCATCATAATGTGTTATGATTTGAGTTCAAAGGTCTGGCTATTGCTGGTTTGGGGGTCCAGAGTTGCTACTGACTCCCTGGGAAGTATAACGGAAACTGTATTACCATCATGCCCTGGACTCTGGGCCACTCTCTTTGATGGAAAGGTTCTTTTATCCTAATATGGCTATTGGGCTCTCATAGGACCCATGTGTGGAACTGATAAGTGGCAAAATGACTTACCTAATCTTTGGGAAGTCTCAAATTCAGGGCCTACCTGCTAACTGAAATATGGTCATTTAGGCCACAAAAGTGTAGGAAGCATAATCAGTTCTGCCAATGGCAAAAACATCTTTTGTAATGAACAACTTGTACTTATGTACAAGGATCTCTTAGGTACAGTTGCTGCTCCCTGAGAGGGCCTATAATTCTTGTTTATTTTTCCACGTGAGAATCTTAGAATCTCAATATGGAAAGATGTCTTTGAGTTCATATAGCTCAAACACAAATCCTTTCATCTCTGAAGAGTTCTTGAACACTTCAAGGGAGTGGGAACTCACTCCCTTTTATTTTAGGAGATCTTTCATTAATTAAGAAGTTTCTTCTTATCCTAACCCTAAAATCACTCCCTTGCAAGTTCTACTTATTGTTTCTGGCACTCCCCTCCAGGACCAACTGTAGTATAAACAAGGCTGGATGTGGAGTGAGAAAACTTGTAAAGTGACTTGCTTGAAGTGGAGGTAGTGTGGGAGAGCAGAATGACCACTATCTCTGGAGTCAGAGGACCTGGGTTCGAATGCCCATCCCTGTGTGATCTGGGGCAAGTCAGGTATCCTCAGAGGGTCTGAGTTTCCTCATTTGTAAAACAAGCAGGTTGGGCTCCATGGCCTCTGGGGTGCCTTCCAGCTTTGTGTGTGTAGGATGACCTTCCCGGGATATGTGGGTATGGCCACATTTTGCTGGAAGCGATACTGATGCAGAAAGTAAAATTGATTTTTTGTTGACTTGTTACCCTTAGTTCACAAAATTGTCACTGCCCTTTGAAGGAAGCAGACTCTGAGGGTAAACTGGGCATGGCTGATAGTGCAGCCTTTACTGATAACCCACCCTCCAAAGCAAGATAGGTTTTTTATCTTAGTAAGGAGTGGTCATTTGGAATGATAGGATTTTTTTTTCATTGTATTATACTGTTCCTTTGCAAAAACAGGACTAAAACCAGTAAAACCACTTGAGAGGCAGGCTGATGTACTGGAATGAGTTTTAATTGGCAGACAGGGGTGCAAGTTGCTTCTTTTCTCTGGGCCTCAGTTTCCCCCTCTGTAAAATGAAAGTGGTGTTGCACTAGATGCTTTCTAATATTCCTTCTAGCTCTGAAACTCAGATTCTGTGAAATTCACCCATTAGAGGTAGCTATGTGGTACAGTGGATAGAGTGATGGGCTTGAAATTAGGAAGACCTGAATTTTCAAATCTGGACTCATATACGTACTAGCTATGTGACCTTGGGCAAGTCACTTTAACTGCTGTTTGCCTTAGTTTCCTCAACTGTAAAATTGGAATAATATTACTTGCCTCCCAGAGTTGTTATGAAAATCAAAGGAGATAATTTTTATGAAGTGCTTAGTATACAAATAATGTTATTATTAGTGTGTACAAGGCCCCTTTTTTTTTTTCAGCAAAACTAAAAATATTAAGAAATAATATTTTCCTCCAATATCCTTTCCAGACTTCTGGGAAAAAGCCTTTAGGAAAAGTGAGTATTAACAAAAGGACAAAAAAACTTTTCTTAGGAAAACAGATTAAGGGTGGCACTTTAAGAAAGAGTAATTCTAGTCTTGTTCAGTCATCTTTCTCCATTAGCACAGTGCCTGGCACATAGTAGGTGTTTAATAAACGTTTGATTGATTGATTGAGAAAGGATTAAGATATTTATGGACAAGATGGTGCTTGAGTGGTCCAGAAAAGAATGGGATTGAGCCTTGGCTTGGATATAGATCAATGATGAATTAAATAAACTTACTTCTAGAAGACAAGCAGAAAACACAGAGTATAGTATTAGTATTAATATTTTTTTTTATCATACAAAGAATTCACTTCCTTAAAAGGAAGAGTTGGGTCCATGAACTTGTGATTTTTTTATTTAAATATTTGATAACTATATTTCAACATAACTGGTTTCACTTTAAATTTTATATATTTTATTTTCTGCATTAAAAACATCATTTGAAGGAGGAGTCGAGTGGTTTCACATGACACACAAAAATGGTAAGAACTCCTGTAATAAAGCCACCTAAGTGACTTTTTCTTTTTTTAGTATTTGAGACACTTGGAAATTTGCTAATCTTTGTATTTTGTAAAAAAGGAAAATGAAGGTAGTCCATAAAATCAAAACCACAGTTTAGATTAAACTATGTTTTATTTATCCAAAAGAGATTTCTTGCATAAATATTTAAATAAAATGAACATTTCCATACCATTTCTTTAATGGAGAAAAATGATGTATTCTCAAGGTTTTTTCCAAGACACTGATTAAAAGCTCAACTGTTGAGTCTCCTGGAGTCATTGGGATTCCAAACTGTTTTTGCAGGTGTCTTATTGGTATGGGTCTCATTCTGTGACACAATTTTTAAAAAAAGGATGGAGGTGAATTACAACTCACTCTTTTGTGATCTTCATAGCATCCTTGGAGGCTCATACTAAACTTAAACAACTGGAATGAGCTCCTAGTTAGTTGTCGACACTTGTCACTTGAACAATCTGTACATGTGATCTCATCTATCTGATAGAGGTCAGATACTGTTAACTATAATTTCAGTGCCCTGGCTGATGACCTGGGAAGTTTTGGAGTTTGTTGCAATGAGAAATCAACTTGTAGGAAAGTTGAAAAATTTATATTATATCTATAAAGTAATTGCCATGAATATATGCACATTTTTGATGGATTTCTGGAAAACCTTCACACACTCACAATATCACTTAAGGAATGAATAAGTAGAAAGAAGAACCTCTTCCTTGAGACCAGGTTTCCTTGTTTTACTTTAGTTTCCCTAAAAGCTCATCCCTAAAAAGCTGCCCTTCAAGAAGCTTTCATTCTGCTGGTGGTGGGGGGAAGGGGTGTGTATGTGTGAGATGAGGAGCAGAGACAAGCCTATGTGTGATCACCTGAGGACAAAGAGAACACAAACATGATTGGCCAGGATACTTTATATGGGTTTCACCTAAATGCTCTCTTTAAATGTCACAGATATCCATGTCTGAACACAGCTGATTGCTTTGTGTCAAGGCCAATGGAAAAGACAATATTTATACTATTTATGCAATTCATAGCAACTCTCTCTTTTAAAATATTCTAGAGATTGGCTACATAGGTCTGAAGATGATCAAACAGGGACTTTGGGGGCAATATGAAATCAAGGATGAATATGATCTTTTTTTGGTAAGTAACTGAAAAAAGAACTCAGTACCACAACAGGCTTGTCTGAGTACATCCACAAATCCAAACAAGACACTACCATCTGTAATTGTTACTTATACCTTGTTAATGGAAAAATAAACAAACTTATCAGCATTTCCCAATTTAAATTATATCTTCTGCATTTTAGGCTTCTCAGACAATCACTGGGGAAACGATAATGGTATGATTAATGATAATGTAAATAGGATGCCAAGTTATCGAATTATAACATTAACACCATAGATAGTCATCTTCAATGCAATTGCTCCAATAATAACGAAGGAACAGGTTATATATGCTAGGAAAAGATGTTA